TCCCAGATTACTCAATCAACAGGCATCAGTGTTGTTCTGAATGCTATTTAGGAAGCAAGATGATCAGTTTTCAACATTTTAACGAGAAATGTGACATTGTGCAATGGGGAGCCACGAACGCAGCACGGAAAGTCAATTGCTTGACCACAACTACTCAGTGCAACACAGTAGAGATGCAACGGGCTATTCACGCACCCCCAGCGCATCTGACTGCATAACAGCCACCAACAGACAGGCCCCAAGATGAAAGGGAAAAAAATTTGATCTCTATTTGCAGAATAGACAAGCCTGCACTGTCAGCCTACTTGCATTACTGATACGATAGGTGGCAGAGAGATTCTTCCACCTTTGCTTCTCTTGACCGGCTACAGAGTCTCAGAGCACTGACACCAGGGTACTGATCAGGCAGTCACACACATGATGTTGCCAGTGTACGGCTGGAACCATCCAGAAAGGCTAACCTTTGAGGTTTTTTCCTTTCAATTGCTGCACTAGCAATAAAAAACAGTCACAAGATTCCCACTGGAAGTGTGGAAATGGATTGGCAGAGAAACTGGAAAGCAAACCAAGCAGCAAAAGTGCCAGACCCTGACCATCCACAGGGGTGATCTGCATCCTTAAGGTTGAATCAGGAACCCTGGGCAGCCCATGTCACATTAAAATGTTGAAAACAGCAGAGCACTAGGTCTGAGTTTAAGTCAGGTGAAGAAGGGGGCAGGAAGAGGTTGGAGAGGCAACATCTAGGAGGAGGCAATCTTACCGCTGATGCGCTGGCGGAGAGAACGTAATTACGAGGTCTAGTCTCCTGAAAGTCAGGCACAGCCTAGTGGGGGGAATAGAGTTTCATGTACAAGTCACGGCAGAAGGGTCCACAGGAGTCATTCGGGCAACGGATGGAAGAAGGGACTAGTGTTTTTTTCCTGTCTGTGCTGTGAGCTTAGTTCAAGTTCTTATGGGATGGCAGGAGGGAGGTCTCCCAACAGCCTGGACAGTGGTGCATGGAAGCCAGGCTTGTGCAAGAGGAGGTGGACTGGCTCATGTGGTCATACCCGGTACTTGACCGGCAGATGCTTCTGCTGTTAGAAACTCTGTCTGTACTTCCAGCTATCCGCTCATACAGCAGCCAGCTGGAGTGGAGGTGAGACGGCACAATCTCAATTTCCCATTTCTTTGTAACCAGCAAGTTGCTTATGTCACGTTGGCTCAGTACAGTGGGCAGGACCTTTTTTCCCCTTGCTTCCCACCTATGGTCCTAGAAGTGTCCCTGTACAGGGCCTTGTCCTTGAAGTGGGCATATTTACTAGCATCAGAGCATCTTTTCCATGGTGCCTTTTAAAGAATCACATCTACTTGTTCTTACTCTCACCAAGCCTCTGGGCATGTTTTCTCCTAGGAGACTCAGATCTGCTATTTTCAGTAAGAGGAATGGTTTAGCCAAAGCAGATCTAGTCCAAAGCCTGTTACCAAAGGTAGCATATGAGTTTTCAGCCCAAAGGTCAGAAAACCTCCAAGCCACCTTCTCCACAGCTAAACCTCTGCCCTGGGGCAGGAAGACTTAAGTAAACACTCTGGAGGTCTTCCTCATTGGGATGCAAGGGATCCAGTCCACTCCCACACAGGTGTGGGCTCACAAACCATCACAGAACACGGCCTCTCTCTTCAGCTAAGCTAAGACCAGGCCTCCTCCTAGGATGGCCTTTGGCTGTATCATCACCCAAAGAGACAAGCCAGCCAGCTATCAGGACCATTGCACTGGTGTGATGGATCAGGGCATCCTCCTGGTCAGGCTTTACCACACAGTGAGTTGGTGTGAAAGGCTGGCACACAATCCAGCTGTAACCCAGCTACGTTGTTAATCCTCTCAGGCCCCACATTTCCTCTCCCAGGTTAATCTCTTTGCAGCTCACCCAGATCTACTTATACACGCTGACCAGATTTGCTGGGCCCTGAGCAGCCTGCTGGAATGAGTGACCAGTGTGTGGAAGAGCAGTCAGGCAATCCCAGCAAGAGATTTTTATTTTTTTAAATCATCTAGGAGTTTTGGGGATGGCTGGAGGAAGGAATAAGGAGGAGTGATTCCTATTACAAATCAAACCTGAATATAAGGAGAAAAATGCACCAGTGAGACTTGAGGCCAGGACAGCAACTAGGCTTGACTCCTCCCTGCGCAGAGAGGAGGTATTTTGCAGCAATAGCTTATTAGCTTTTTTTTTTTCCTTTAAAGATCAAGAGAATTGAAGAAACCTCTCCTCCCATTCCCTGGTCTCCAGAGCGTCCCAAAATTAGTCACAGCACATGGGATGAAGGGGCAAGCTGCTCTTGCACTCCTATGCATGGACAAGTTGTATTTGCAAGCAGTGGTCAAAAGGGACCTGCCTCCCTCCCCCTCCCGCTCTTGTAACGGGGAAAACGGGCAGAGCCCTGGAGCCTGGAGGACAGAACACCACCACAACCAGACCAACCTGCCTGTCATTGTCTCTGGACTGCTTCCCTTCCAGGAGAGGGTCTTGCCACCCAACCTGACCTCCTCCTGCCCGCAGCCAGAGGAGCTTAGGTGGATCTTTAGGAGAGCCCCTGTCTCTCTTGAGCACTGCTTGCAAGCAGCATTGATGGAATAGAGTGCATGCTCCAGAGGGGCTGCAGGCAGCCGACAGACACTCCCGTCTTTCTGGGGCATCTTCCCCAGGCAGCTGCAGCCCTGACCACGCTCAGTACATGCTCCAGGGCCAGTCCCAACGGGACAAGGCAGATATGAATTTTCATTTAAAATGGGAAAGAGACAATGAGAGGTGTTAAAGAAAAAAAAATAAATCACAGCACTGTTAGCACAGTCAATACTCACATCTCCCTCACACTGAGCAAATTACAAAGAAACAAAACAAAAAGGTTAGTAAACAAAACAGCATCAACAGGAAGGACAAAGCACGAAGTCCGAGGGAAACGCACAGGCCCAGACACTTGAACAGCAGCTCACAGGTCTGGGCAGCAGCACACTTGAGAGGATCAGTCAAGAGAAAGAAGCTGTGGGAACACAAATTTGCACTACAGAGGGGAAGAGCAGCAAGAGAGGGGTGAGCTGGGAGAGGTGTGATACTTTAGGCCGGCTGGGATGGAGAGGTGTGACAGAGGACTCCAGGCATGTTACAGGGAACATTGTGGTCTAATGATGAGTTAACACACCTTGAGCAGAGGCAGCAGTTCTCTCCCCCACCATGCTGAGAGCCTATGCCTTGTCCTCTAGTAGTCAGTGAGGTGCCCTGAGGCCAGGGACCCCACCTTTAAGCTAAGCTGGGTAAGAGACTGGTGCCCTCAACAGCAGCTGAGGCTGTGCTTCTGTCGTGTCACCCCTGTTTCAAAGAAGCAGACTGAAACATGGCTTGGGGCAAACACCCTGGAAAGCCTAGACTGGCTCTGCATCCTGCCTGGAGCAACCCAGCCCTGCAGTTCCAGTGCGAAACCAAGCTTTTCTTTTCCAGCTTCAGGGAAGTCCCTCACCCAAGGGTCTGTGTGCAGGTGAGAGGCCTTGGGATCACTTCATGTAGGAAGCAAGGTAAAAAGGGTGGAAAGGGAGGAAGCACAGGAGGTATCTGAATTCCTCCTCTGATCTGAGCTTAAGATAAAGCAATGGCCACCACTTCCCACTGAGACCGGGGGCACCATCCCCTTCAGAAGGGGAATCAGGGACCCCTGAAGTTACCTTCAGATGATCTGGGTGACCTGACTGATGAGAGGAGGCTTTTTTAATAGGGCAGCTATCGCTTTTTTTCACCCAAAGCTTTCTCTGGGGCTTTCCCACATAGGGCTGAGCACTCTGTCAGACCTGCTGATGGGGGCTGCTGAGCTTAGTGCAGCTTCCCCATATGGCATGTATACAGTTAGAGCTGGAGAAAAGGGAAAACACCTGGGAACTGGCCACCCAGGGAGCTGCAAGGCCAGAGGCCCAGCTGAGCAGATGGCTAGAAAATGAGCTCATGGCAGGGCTCCTAGGCTGGTATCCCAGTGCATCCCAGACACTGACTGACAAGGATTCCTGCCTATTCTGATTGCACATGTTTGCTAGTTGAGCTCCTGGCCCCAGGCTAGAAGCAGAACTTGGCAGGATGGCAACTTGCTTCAACAAGGCTCTCCAGAGAACCCATCCATGCCCACCTACATCCTCTCTGCCTCCTGCCACACTGCCTCTGCCCAGGGAGAGTCCAGCTCCGGGAGCTGCCTCAGGCCCAGGGAGCACCCTGAGCTGACAGGTCATCAGCCTTAGAGAAGCACTTTGAAGGGCTTGTCCCCATTGCCCAGGCCTGCAGACACAGACACTGGCTGACTTACCAGTCCCTTCTGCACTGCTCTGAGTTGAGAGCTTTGCTAGTTTACTTGCCATGACTTCCCCAAAGCCAGGGGGCAAGACTAGCCTGTAACTAGACAGCACCATTGAATTAAGTGAATAGAGAGGCTGAAGGAAGGGCTTCTTGGTAGCCAGTCTGACCCTGGCCACCCCTTGCAGGCTCCCCCAGCACTCCTGTCTGGGGAAGACTGAGTTGGCAGAATCCTAACTAGTCTGAAAGCCTGAGACTGCTGCAAAGCCCCAGCATGCTCTTCCCTTGTGTGCTTCCCAGCTCAGCTCTCTCTTGGCTTGCTTTGAGATCCCCAGGGAAATGTAGCAAGTCCTCAGAAGATGCAGCCTTTTAGTTACTAGCACAAATCATCCAGCAACTACTATCAGTCAGGAGACAGGAGCCTGGGTCAGGTAGAAATTTCCAGACTTTGGAAGCTCAGAACTATTTGTTTCAACAACTCCCCTCCATGGGAGGACATCTGAGGAACAGGCGCATGGCTCCTGCTCCCAGTTCCCTTGCATACCAGAGACAGAATACCCCACCCATGCCTGCCAGAGCCAGGACATAGTAGGGCAGTCTAATTTTTGTCCAGAGAGCATGTGGCATTGCTCATGTGAGCCAAGCCCTGGAGCCAGAAGGACAGTGAGGGAAATGAGGGGAAAAAGTTACCGCTGCTTTTGCCTCGGCAGCTTTGGCTTTCTTCAACCTGGCTTTGCAGGCATCCAGATCCAGGCGGCGGTTCTGCAGGATCCTCCGCTCTTTCTGGAAGGGACAGAAAATGGGGTAAGAGCAGACTGCTTAGGAACTGTTGGGGAGAGAAAGGGACAAGGTATCATCTAGGAATCAAATTTATCTCTTTAGCAAAAAGAGCTAGTGAGAAAGAAGCATTTGCTATGTCTGTCTCATTAGCAAGAGTTTTGGGCCTGGCTGCCAGGGATACAGGCTAACCTTCTGGAAACAGGGCAGCCCATGGGTGGGTGGTGCCCACTAAGCTGCAGGAGTCAAGAAAAGAGTTACCTTCCTCATGCACATCAATTGGCAATCCTACTCTGCTGCAAAGGGAGCCCTGAACAGATCTAGGATTGGTATTTCCCTATCCTTGCACTCTTTGAGGGGAGAGGTTTGGAGTCGTCCTTTCTCAATAGGGAAGGAAAATGAGTCCTTCCAGCACCATCTCCCTCTCCCCCTGCCCTCCTCTTCTCTGGGGACAGGACAAGCTTCCCCTTCCCTGCTACCATACTTACAGATATGGTTCGCCAATCTCCTTCCAGGAAGTTGCGCAGTGGAGTCAGGAAGTTGATGGAGGCAGAGTGGATGAAGTCCCGTTCTGCTGCACCTAAGCGCCTTTGAGTCTCTCCAACTTTTATCAAGGTCTTCCCTGCAATAACAGGAGCCTTCAGTGCCAGGAGAAACCAATTAATATTGTGTTGGCTTCAGCCAACTCACCCAGAGTTACCAGACTCCAGTGCTGGGAGATAAAGGTGTAGTGTACCCTGCCTGGACAAGGTGACCATGCCCATACCACACCAGCTTCAGTCCTAACTACAGTCTGCTTTTCGCTTGAGGCCTCTTCTCAGCTGCTCCCAGTGCAGCTTTGATCTTATCTATCTGAGGCACTTATTCCACTGATGTCCTTTTACTGCTATACCTGCTTGTGCAGAATGATCTTTGTTTGTCTCATAAAACAGAGGCACAGGAACAGAGCAGCAAATTAAAAAGCACCAGACCAGAAAAAATGAGTTGATTAGGCAGTGCTGGCTATAGATGCAGTTACAGCTGTTCTGCCTGTAACAGGACTCGCTATTGAACAACTATTGATTTGGAGAGCAGCAACAAAGATCACGGCAGAGGCAAGGACAGCTGGAAGTTAAGGCTGTGCTTCTGTGCAGGTCTGCTGCTTAAAGCAGCCCAAAATTCCCCCAGGAAGGGGCAACTGTTAGGATTTAAGAGCAGAAAGATGTACTGTGTGGTCAGGAATGGGACTGTTGATGCTTGTAGCCAAGCACCAACCTTCCCAAGTCTGTTTTCTTGTCATCTTTCTGCTGGAGAAAGCTTTCCACCCTCCACTCGCAGGACGCAGTTAAAGGATGGTTCTCCTGTTCAGTCTAGAGAAACTGTGCAACTAGATACCACCTTAGACTAAATATATGCACAAACCAGACAAAGCTAAAGCTATTCACTGCAACTCCCTGTTCAGGCGAGCTTAGAAAGTCATAGAAATCGCAGAGAGTAGTTTCTGCATCCTATAACCAGTTCCACTAGCTACCCTGGATCTGCGTATCTTTACTCTCTAGCTCTGCCAGACTCAAGGACTGTATAAGAATTAGGGAGACCCCTGCCCCTTTTTCCCCCACAGCATGGAGGATGCTCTGCTGTGCAGTAAAACTGACTTCCTACTCCAGGTGGGCTGTTTGTTTCTATGCTACAGAAGACCCTTCTCTGGCATCAGCATTGACACACTAATAGGCAGGCTGCTGCAGCAGAAGCAGGCCACCCTGCCACCTTCAAGAGGCATGCTGTGGAAGTCTTAACCCAAAACAGTCAAGGGGATACTCTCTTACAAAGGGATGGATCCCCAGGGCTTTTTAATTAGCCAGGCTGACTTACCATAAGGTGTCCCTGGCCCAAAGTCATTAGCTGCTTCTGTCATGTACTGTGCCAGCAGCTCCCCGTTGGTGACCCGGGAAGGCACCTTCCGGTCAAGCTTCTCATAGAGGAATTCTTCTACTCTGGCACCTGGAATGAGGATGCCACCAGCAGTTACAGGATGGATGATAAAGAAGGGGCCCCTGAAACTGGCATTCAGGGTAGCCCACCCCATGCAGCCATCAATGCATTAGATAACAAGCATCAGCACCAGGAGAAGGTGTCCCTTCCCCAGCCCTCAGGAGCGCTGCCAGGCTGTGTAGGGCAGCAGCCAGTCATCTCTCAGCTACACAGGGAAGGGAGGACAGGCCCTGCAAAGACAGGTTTCTTCCAACTCTCACAAACTCAATGGAACAGGGATCTCTGCCAGAGGGCATCTTCTAACACTGAGCTACAAGTGATATTTGTCCTTCAAGCATTAGAAGAACCTGAACTTACTAGGGTTTGGCTGTAGCAGAACCTCAGTCTGACGCAAGATCTTCTCTGTCCAGTTCTTTGTGCAGTCTGCCCTGGCCAGAAGGTTTTCAAAGTGGGCATCTAGTTCAGTCTTCTCAGCCTGGCCCAACTTTTCTTCAGTAAACTGCAGGAAGGACATAGTCATTAGAAGGTCTGTTCTACTAAAGGAAAATTATAGTGTGCTATAGAGCTACTAAGAGACACTGAGGTTTATTCTGTCTCATGCATTCATCTTGGAGTAGAGCTAAGAAGCCTTCATGGTGTCATTCTTTGTTCCCGGATATCTTTCAGGGAAAGCGGGCAAAATTTTGCCCAAGAGTGGAATAAACACTGAGCTAAAAATAGAGCCCAGGTTTGAGAGGTGTTCTGGAGTAAGTAATTTTTAATAAGGTCTGGCACAGAAAAATACTCTAGTTGTGAGAAATGTAGTTGAATGTGCACTGGCTTCCAGTACTTCAACAGACAGTAGAGCAACAGGCATCCTTCAGGTGAGGCAATATCCCAACTCCCTTCACCTCCTACTAACCAACTCTATGTCCCACAAACCCAGCGGGATCAGGAATGTTCAAAAGTCACACTTTCTTCTCATCTCATCAGACAGGCATGTACACAACATCGGTTTTGCTACAGGGTGCCCTCCAACAGCCATCAGACTGACAGTGTCCGACTGCTGCCTCCCAACTCACCTCCTGCCTTGCTGGCAGTGAGCTGCCAACTGAGCATCTGAGGTTTAAGGAGGCTCAAACTCAGGATTTAGATAAAAATGCTTCCAGCAAGTCACCCTTCCTCTAGGACACACTCTGAAGCAGGGCATTGAGAGAAATATAACAGTGCCTGACTTCTCTCAGCACTTGGATTCATACTGGCAATGGACTATCCCTCCCTCCGTGATTCCTTTTAAGTTTAAAATTAGCAGCAGAAAAAAAAAGCAGGGTGTGCAAATTTTCATACTGGGCAGTAACATCTGACAAGCAAGATCTGTCAATCTGGAGGTGCAGTGTCAGATGGTCTGGATGCCCCCCATTGCTTCCTTGGGGGATTTCTGAGAGAAAAGCCCATTCCTTCTCATCCCATCCCCATTTTCCACTCACCCTCTCAGTGATGTTGGCCAAGCAGTTTCCTACTCTTGATGGAACCAGCATCTTGTTGGATCCTACTAAAAGTCCCCTTTAGACAGCTATGCCACTTGGGATCCTACAGAGGTTGCAGCTGTCCTTCTAGCCCTTGTTGCTGCCCTCTGGTGCCACTGTTATCAGGACATGGTGCAGCACAACACCTGGTACAGCCAGCTGCCGAGAGATTAAAGCCTGGCTAAAAGTCTTAGATGAAATACAGCTCCTGTATAATCTGCCACTTGTACCTTCTCCTCTCCCCTCCCCTGTCCCAGAGCTCAGCTCTAGATGGGCCAAGATGTCCTCTTCATGGGCTCTAGGTCTGGTGTCTGCTGCCCCTCCAGAAAGGCTTTTTGGCAAGCTCCGTTCCTATTGCTGCCCCACAGCCCCAGCTGCGCTGGGAACAATGCTGGGAACAAAGCAAGATAAGGGGCAAGCCCAGAACCAGCATTTGAGGCAGGCAAACAGCCTTTAGGAGTCCTGTTACCAGCCCTGTGCAAATGTTACCAGATGTCCGAGATATACAAGCCCTGCAGGTATGTTTACACAGTGACCTGTTTGGGCAAGATTCGAGCTAGAGCTAGTGAACCACTTTGCCTGATGTTGGTGATGACAGACACGGAACTGCAAGGACAGTCACACTTCCTCCTGCAGCTGCGTGAGCACAGAGGAGTTGCAGCCATGTATGACCGGGGATTGCTGTACTAGTCTCTTCCTCAGCACCAGTAGCCCCTGGTTACTGACAGTTATTTTCAGCTCAGTCTTGCCATGGACCCTTGGCTATTGCTGGACATGGCTAAAAGCAGATTCAAGGTGAGAAGGTGTTTTTATTGCTTTGTACCTAACGTTTATGATTGACTTTGTGGGATGCACATGACTATCAGACATGCGTGAGCGGCTGAGGCTCTCTCCCTCTGTCACTGTTGGAAGCCCAGGGCTGTTTCCAGACTCTGCCAGGCTGGGCTGAGTCACTGCCATGCAGCAAACTGGGGCTTCCCAGGTATTTGGCACCAATTCTTGAGTCATCTGTTTAAGAGCTTTCTTAAACAAGCCAAGACTCTTTGATGCAAGCATAACAGTCTCCCTTGCCCCCCTTTCCCAGACAGCTTTTGGAGATCTCATCTCACTTCCAAGTCCGGCTCTTCTTCCTGCAGTTTAGACTCTCCTGCACCAGCATCTGCCCCGGAGCTGTCAAGCCTAAACCCAGTTTCTTATCAGCTGAATTTAGTCAGCTTCTTATGGCATTGCTGCAGAGTCAGATCAGCATCTCCACAGTGCTACTGTCAGCCTCTTGAATCACTCCAGCTCTGGGGTCCTTTGCTATATTCACAAGTGGCATCTCCAAGCATCGCTGTCCTTTGCGGCTGTATCCCACCCCTTCACCCAGTGCAGTGGAATAACGTGTGTCGTTTGCACAGCGCTTGGCCAGGAAGCAGCCAGGACTCAGAAACTCAGCTCTTATCTCAAGTCAGGCACTAAAGCTGTTTGTCCTGCAAGAGGGCTGAGGACATGCACTGTGATCACTGCAAGCCTAGGCTATGCCAGAAGGGGAGGATGGGCAGGAATCTCAATCACAGCCTGTGGCTCCAAAGGGTCAGGCCAGAAAATGATTTCTTATTCAGGCTTTCTTTTGGTGTTGGAAAGCAGGACGTGAACGTCATGAAGTGGGTGCAAGGGCACGGGAGGCTGTAGCTCACATGCTGGGAGGCTGTTACTCCATTTACACTTAATTCCCCTAGTGTCTCTCTCTCCCCTGCCCAGAATTCAGCTATGCTTCACAGCCAGCACAGCCTCAGGGCAGTTGGTACCACTTCATGAGGGTTGTTGCAGAGGGTGCCCTTTTCCTCCCCTGCAGCACGCTTCTACCTCCTTGTCTGTGCATGGGGAGTCACTGATCCAGCTCAACTTGACCTCTAACATGACTTTTCAGGCAGATCAGAGAACTCACCCGACTACATAGCACTACTGGGAATGTGCCATCATCAGGTGCAGAGGAGAGCAGGACCACCTCTCACAGGAGCAGACTGCAGTGAGATCAGATGAAGCTTCTCACGAAAGCACAGCCAGTGAAGGAGATTAGAGGTAAGTTACACCACCTTATCCTATGAGCTGGTTCTTTCTTATGTCTGGTGCAAGTGGAGATCTGAGCTTTCAGGTGGCAACAGGTCTCAGCTGCTGATCCCCTCTTACCTGGCTGCCCAAGTCAGCGTCCCCAGTGAAAAGCAAGACAGAACAACAGCAGTTTATGAAGTCTGCCTACTCAAGCATTTCAAGCAGAACTCCCCCATAAAGGACTTGTGTTCCTAGGAATTTGTTTTCATAACACTTACAGAAATTTCATTATTTTCCTTTCCCATTGAACAGGCATAAGATTTCACTGTGAGGCCAAGAGACGCCTGAGAACAGAGCTGATCATACATTCATGCCTCCTGACTGTAAAAAGACAGATTAAAAATATTTTGTGTCTTGCTGCTCCTGGACTAGAGGCATTGGTGTCTTTTGCAGCACCAAATACTCCAGACTGCCACAAATAGGAGCCTTATTTGGCTGTATCAAGTTGACCTACAGGCTTGGTGAATAACCACCTGGGACATAGTCAGGGCACGCAGAGAACACGCAATTGCAATGTCTGGGGAGAACCTTAAGCTCCTCCATCCTGCTGCAGTAGAACTATTCCCATTTGTTTTCTAGAATCTGATGGTTGGGTCAACAGTCCTGCGCTGAACCAATTCCAGGATCTGCATCCCGGGATCACACGCCAGGTCGTGGTGTTAAGAGGCTCCACTGATCCTGCCCTGCAGGGAGCGCACCTGCAGCTGATCCAGCTGAGCCCCAGTCCCGTCTTTGTGCAGGGAAGCCAATGAGGTGATTAATAATGCAGGGCAGCCTTTTGTCGAGTGCCACTCTCGCTCTCCAGGAAGAGGAGAGTCATGCTGCATTCCAGGGCATCAATAATTCAGCCAAAGGTTGGGTTTCCTCTGGGAGGCTTGGCTGGCCAGCAGGGATGCTAGATGCATTATCCGGGCTCGTGTGGGCAAGCAGGCTGACAGATCAGGAGAGCAGCATTTGGGTGACAGGCCAAAAAGAAGCAAGATCGTGCTGGACTGCAGCGAGGGCAGCTGCCTGCATTCACAGCTTGGGGGAGAAACTCCCTTTTCCCCAAGAGAGTTGGTGGAGACACTACAGGGATGTCAGGAGGGTGAGCTAGTAGAGCTAGGCTGGATCGGTCCCTCTGCACTACAGCTAAAATATCATAAAAGGCTGCGCGTACCACCCTAGAGACCTAAGGCCATCAAGGTTAGGCTTTAAAATAGCACATGCGTTCCTTTTCCTTGCTGAAAGCATTAGCACCTTTCTCCCCTTTAAAGCAAGGGGAATAAAATGCCAGTGCTCCCACTGAGTTATGCCAACACCGCAGCTGTTTTGCACAATGCAGCACAAGTTGACTTGTGTCTCTTCCAGGCTTGTGTGACTTTTCCGTCCCTCTCCTCTCCAGCTGGCCCAGGCCACTATGCTGTGAGCTCAGACAGGGTAGCTGCAGCCCCCTTGCAGAGCATCTGGTGGCAGCGTTCAGGCCTTATACCACTTGCAGGGTCCCTATTTTTTCCAGTTGGACATCACTTATGACTTTCCACCTTAAATCACAGAGATCAAACCAAGGGCCAAGAGTCTTAAATCAGGAATAGTCCTGTACCTGCCAGTAGATTTGGGCCGATGGATTTTCTCAAGCCTCTGAACAGCTTCATAATGCCCGGGCGATTGTGACATTTGCTTTTTTGGTGATCGGAGGCATGACAGAATCAGTTCAGCCAAATCTACCTCCCATCTTGTACAGGGTTGCATTAAGAGAGAAGCCATAGCCACTTAGTCAGCATCTAAAAGCTACCTGAATCTCAACAGCTCTGGACCAGATACAGAGTATGCTTCAAGTATTTGGTCACCGGGAGTCAGGAAAGCAAGGCTGTGAGCCAAGTGAAACTGTGCTAGAGGACAGAAGGAAGCCATTAAAAGGACAGCTTGGTTAACTCATGAG